TAATCATATATGTATATGTAAAAAAAAAAAACAATGCACAATTCACCTCGATCAGCCGATTGACAAAATGGTTTGCAGGGATATTGACTCAATGCGTTCCATAGACAATTCTTGCCAAAAAAAAAAAAAAAATTTTATTATGCAAAAGTTGCAAAAATTGCTGTCATGTAGTGTCCGAAGCGTGATTATTGAACAAAGTTATTTTCATTATAACGAGCTGTTAGCCGCTCACGTCTCAAGTGACTCGCACAAGCGGGGGGCGCTCTGATGTGCAGCTTTTAATCGATATTGGAAAACTAATGATAGCACACTTGCTGTCAATGCTTTGTTTCGATAATTTTTTACTCTCTCTGTTGTGTAATTGAAGGGAAAAAATGCAATGAAACGAAATTTGTGGACGTTGCGGTCGCTTCTTACTTTCGCATGATGCGTTTATGTCTTTTATCGTTTAACATGTGAAGTCTGCGTCAAGGCCGACATTGGTTAGCAAAATTTAATGCAAGCTCATTGACATTAATGATGACAAACTCAAGGCACTTAGCGCTTTAAACGCCCATAATATGAAACGTGAGATAGCAGCAACACAAAGCATTTATCATTTCAATGATCGCGGCTGCCTCAACCGGCCAATAAATCTCAGTAATGTTTATTTAAATTTTTATCGTAAATTGATTTAAATTATTATTATTATTATTATTTTGTTGTTGTCACATACTACTTACTACTTCAAATCAAAGAAGTGTAGGAAATAGCCTACATAAACAAACCTATGTTCGCCCATACGAGAAATTTTATTAACGGAATTTATTGCATTCGTCGCTAGACTTTGGTTGACTTTAGGTTAGCTTTAACAAACCTGTAGTATTCGGTGACCTTAGTATCAAGACCCTTTGTTAAGCCAATCATGTCCGTCCATCCGTCTATCGTCTGTTGCTGGTATTTTCAATGTCTCCCCACTTAATAGAGCCTATGATTATTATTATTCTTACATAAGCAGATAGATTGGGTATAATAAGTGCAAAGTGGGTCCTAATTCCAGTCAATCTGTGGTCATATGGTGAGTGAGGAATTATTATTATTACTATTATTAAAATTAATTTAGCCAAAGAAATCAAAAAAGGCGCTAGCATCTGAGGCTATTGGAGGAGATTTGAATCCACGACCATTGAATTGTTAGTCAAGTATCTTAGACTAATCTGTCGCTCAGGCGAATAAAAAATGTTGTATACATTTTTGAAATTTTTTTTTATAGAAATTTACATTCAAATGCTGGAGGAGATTCCATTCAATACAATCCGATGTTTCGTTTACTCTCCTCTGCGAATTCTAATCTAAAAGACTATTTTAGTGGACTATGGGCGAAAAGAAATAAATTTTAACAAAAAACAAAAAAAAATTTCCTTTCACATTCTTAATTATTATTATAATTGTGATTATCATGTAAAGCATTAAATAACCGGACTTGACCGTCTATATAATATTTTCACTAGATTTCGTTTAAAAAAATTACATCTTAATATTTATCATAACTTGTCAGTTACTTGGCAATTACACTAATTGTCTTGTGGTGCATGTAAGGTTTTTGTTTTTGTTTTTATGTTTTTTTTTTTTTTTTGCCATAATGGAAAATGCATTTTATTTAAATTAAAAACATAATTAACAACTGACAGTAGTGTCTTTCAAAACTTTCCATTATACAGCAATAATTGCACCGCACCTAGGATTTTTTTTTTTTTTTTTTTTTTTTTT